ACATCAGGGCGTGCCGGCCTCTTCCTTGGTGCCAGAGTTTTGACCCAGGCCCATATGATTGGACCTAGAGTGGTTGGCGGTGGTATGGGTCTCCGTCGGGCGAGACAGAGCCCGCGACCTTGGGGTCGGGCGAGGTGGAGCCCGCCCCCAGAGGTCGGGTGAGGGGGAGCATGAACCCAAGGGTCGGGCGAGGCGGAGCCCGCGACCTTAGGGTCGGGCGAGGCGGAGCCCTCCCCTAGAGGTCGGGTGAGGCGGAGCGCAAACCCAAGGGTCGGGCGAGCGAAGCCCGCGGCCTTGGGGTCGGGCGAGGCGGAGCCCGTGGCCTCGGGGTTGGGCGAGGTGGAGCACGGACCCAGAGGTCGGGCAAGGCAGAGCGTAAACCCAAGGGTCGGGCGAGCGGAGCCCGTGGCCTCGGGGTCGGGCGAGGCGGAGCACGGACCCAAGGGTCGGGCGAGGCGGAGCCCGGCCCCAGAGGTTGGGCGAGGTGGAGCGCAAACCCAAGGGTTGGGTGAGCGGAGCCCGCGGCTTTGGGGTCGGGCGAGGTGGAGCCCGTGGCCTTGAGGTCGAGCGAGGCGGAGCATGGACCCAAGGGTCGGGCGAGGCAGAGCCCGCCCCCAGAGGTCGGGCGAGACGGAGCTTGCGCGCCTAGGGGTCGGTTGGAGCTGTAGTCGCGCTCTTGACTGCTCGGATGAATCAATGTTGATGGTCAATATCTCCTCCTCTTCGGGTACCCTAGTATTGGATCCCGACAATTGCTGTCTTTTTTTTGGAGAAACTATGAAAGAAGGTAGAGAGGAGAAAGACTGGGCTGGTAGGCCAGGAAACGCGGCGTCCAGACAGACGGACGCCCGCACCACAACATTTCTGTTTTAAAATAGTCTTATCATAGAGCATCTGCATAAGTCTTTCTATCTATATTTGGAGAGCCATCTATATAAAAATTGCTTTCTATATGTTTTCATTCTCCAACCAATTTTCTATAATTTGTTTATACTTAAGAGAGCCATTTTCGCTATTTATCTTTGGCTAGTGAGAAATCTAAAATAAAAGATGGCTATATTTGGATAACAACTTAGAAAAGCGGTTGAAAAGTAAATTTTCATCAAAATCTCCCATCCTAAAAATAAAAAAGGATAATGAGTCTCTTGGGGTTGCTCTTAGGTTAGAAGTATATTTTCTATCATATAAATAAGTAAAGCACTAAAAGTTATTTTTGGTTTTTTTGCCATGTTGCCTTCCTTTTTCTCTATTTTCTAAGGGAAAATAGCAACAGTGCCCATTTATTTCAGAAGGAAGCAAACCGAATTTTACATAAGTGAATAGTACATAATAAATTAATGTATTGTTTTCTGTCATGTTATCTTCGGTCTCTCTTTTCTTGTTAAAAAAAGTAGGAGCACATAGTGTGTTTGATCTCATATTTTAGGCCACGTGCATCCTAAAGGCATTGTTGGCTGTGTTTTCTATCCTCAACTTTGCACGAGAATCCTTATACAAGAATCTTACAGGGTGTGTTTGGTTGTTTGCATTGGTCTATATCAAGGCTTATGATGTAAAATTATTTTCTTGTTTAGTTGCCCACATAATATCTTATGCATGTTTACAGTACGCCAAGACTGCATTAGCTAGTACTCAAGGTGTTGTCATATTAGAACATGAAGGTATCTACAGGTACTACAATACAAAGTAACCAAACATTAGTTTACTAAATGCAACGTGCATATAGAAAACAATCGATATATGCTTCAGCATAGGAAAAATCTAGGTAGGGGTGGGGGGAGAATCTCCACCTGGATTTTTTTTCAATTAAAAAAAAGGATAGGTACATAATTCTTTCATCCGGGAGCATTACACAAGATTAGTTTGGTTAATGTGATATTTTTTCCAAAATATATAATCTAACATGCATATACAGTAGATATTAATATGCCTACATCTTAGTGTATATATATATATATATATATATGTTATTATATTATTAGTTTTTTTATTGTAATTATTTTAGAGCAAGGTTAATAATACAGTCTGCTGCTGGCTATGAGAATCCTTATAGCCCATCGGTTCTTTACTATTAATATATGACCAACTGGTCTCTCTCATAAAATTTGGTTCATGTGACTAAGCCAGCTGTAAGCTTACAACCCGCTTCGTCTCTCTCTACCCTCCTCTCTTCTCTACCTCAGTATTCAGCCTGTTATTATATTTGTTCTTGTTAGAGTAAGTATAATAACAGACTCTAAGGTGGCTAAATGTTGAGATGGTGGAAAGAGGAAAGGAGAGAGAGGAGAAGTGAGCTGTAAGTTTACATTTGACTTAGGCATAAGAACCAAAAAATATTATGAGAGAGACATATAAGCCATGTATTAACGGTGAATGCTAACTAATATACGATAGGTTGAAAGAAGGCCGCAAAGAATCATCCAGCAGCCGAACGTAATTATTAGACTTGCTCTTAGTTGGTTCATTCAAACCAAGCACCGAGCATGTGTTCTGATGCACAGGAGTATATCCCGACGTTTCTCGTGTTGAGGGCCGAGCTCGCCGCTGGAATCTGGATCTGGTGGCGGGCGGAGTGCACGAGGTGAAGGTCACTTTTTTTTTCCCGGACTACAGGTGCCACCGGGAACAATCAACAATGGCAAGCACTTGAGATCCGACGGTGGTTTAATTTGGACGGTTAACGACCCGTTTGGTTCCACCCTAAAGTTTGATCTCTCTAAAGTTTAGTGACCCTGTGTTTAGTTATAGTGACTAAAGACCACTAAAATAGCTGTCCCATGTATATTTTAATCACTTTTAGCTATCTCTTGTGACTAAAAGTCACTCAATTTTAGTGGCCCCTAAACTTTAGTAGAGAGGTGACATTTTAGTGACTAAAAGTGACTAAATTTTAGCCACTAAATTTTAGGAAGGGTGAACAAATAGGTCCAGTTTGTAATTTTTTTAATCATCCAAGTTCAATTTGCATCACCGAGCAGAGCATGGGGACTCTCATCTCGCACCATGGTTATTATGCGATCCATCTAAAATCTGAATCAGACAACGGTTCAACGTTTTTTTTCTTCAAATCAAGTAGTGCTAAAAAGAAATTCACAATGAACGGAAAAGAAAAGAACACCGGCAATATTTCATTACATCATGGTCTTTATTGCATCCCCCCATAAATAAATAGGTTATATAGGTCGGACGTCATCTACTGAATCAATCAATGGCGGGTCTAGAAACGTTTAGAGCTCCTCTTTGTTCACTTCCATGTCTGTAAAAATTAAGATGAGCTAAAGAAGGGGCTCTATTGTCACGGAAGCGGTAGAGCGAGCTTGAACCCATCCCACCACTAGATCCACCCTTGAAAACTATGAAAATAGATTCAAAATTTTGGATGCTTCTCCTAATTTGTTTCTGAGGAGACGAATCTCTACTTTCTAATATTAAAGAGCGAAACACTTCTTCCAATTCATTTTTATACTCCAAACATACTCTCGTTTTGGTACGTCCACTTGTGTTCTTTTTTCACTTTTTTCATTTCTTGTTTTTCTTTTTTGTTCTTCCTGTGCACCTAGTTTTTGAGCGATCGTTATTTTCTTTTTTTTCTTTTTCATTTTCTTTTATTGTTTTTTCTTGTTAGCCCCATGACTTTTTTCTATTTTTTTTTGTTTTTTCTAGATCTGTTTGATCTCTCCTCTAGAGTTCTAAAAGCTTTAGAACACTTTAGCTCACTTTTGAGCTCTAAAGCTCTAATATGAGGTGAGCTAAAGTTTAGAGCTTTAGACCAATTATTTGGAGCTTTAGCTCTAAAGTTTAAAGCTCTAAAGTTTATAGAAGGAAATTCAAATAGGCCCTTAATGCTGTTTAGTATGAACATAGACTATTTAGTATGTCCTCCGACGCTTCTATGTAGTCCGGACGATCAACATCAACTAATTCTAATAGATAACAAGACCTTCTAATAGCAAAAACAACTAAAATGAATCATCAAGATTAAAAATATTTCAATCTAGGCATCATATGATAGAGCATGATTTTCTTAAAAGAAACTGAAACTAGTCTCATAATTTTTTCAGCTACAAAAAATTCTATGAATTTTCAAATATTAAACCAAATTTTAGGATTTTTAATTGCATTATTTTTTCATGTAAAAAATATTTGGATAAATTTTTGAAGAATTATTTTTTATGAATTTTAGATAGTTTCTTAAATTTGTTGCTATATGATTCACCTTCCTAAATTTTCAACTTGATTTATTACTCGCGTTATGGTTGACGTGACGACACATAGGACCGCTGATGTGGTGCCAGGTCTTTAAAAAATCATCATCAAAACCGTCTAGAGTGTAAATAAAAACAAATAATTTTAAAAGTTCAGGAGGGAACGGTTTTGCAGATGACTATAGAAAATCGGAGAAAGGTGAGGGGATACTTTTTCCACGGATAAAAGACATCGATGGCAGGCATAGGCCAATTCCTATGGCCCAAGACATTTAGCTGTCATGGACAGCCCAATTCTGGTCTTCCTGGAGTGGGCCAAGCTCCTCCTCAATCGTAGGCCTAGCATTAGAAAGTGTGAGCTGTTCTAATTTTTTTTAATAATCATTATTGCAAATTCCAATACAAAACAATAATGTACCAAATCAGGGCTTTGCTCATTTGGATATGACTAAAGTGCAAACTGTTCCCCTATCAACATAAAACAATTTAGCCATATATCAAAATGTGGAAAGCCCTAATTAATTTGGTAAATTATTGACATCAGACATTCATGCAACTTCTGCAACAAATTGTAAAATTTGAGGCATAGTTTTTTTTAGTTAGAGAACAGCGGACACAAGGAAATGGATAAATCAAGTTATTATAGATCAGTAAAATGAGGTAATAAATTCATTGTGCAAACAGAAGAAAACACATTGGATTTTCGTCGCTCAAGAAAGAGAGAGAGAGAGAGAGAGAGAGAGAGAGAGAGAAGAAACAAGGAATAAGAAGGATGAAGCTAAGTATCTAGCTAGTTTACACATCAACACCAAGCAACTTCCTCCCAACCCCATTGTTGGTGGCGGCATGGCCGGCACCAGGGCTGTGTCCAGGATCCGTCGCTCGGGTGTCCTCTCCGAGGACGCCACCACCGGCTGCGCCGCCACTCCCGGTGCCGTCCGGCGAGATTGTGCCTGGGGTCATCGTCCCCTTGGTGTCCCCATCGGAATGTGACAGCAAGTTAAGCCTCCTCTGCATCATCGTGAGAGGTTCGCCTTGAGAGTACATGATATGGTTAGAGCCTTAGAGGAGACGAGGATTATGAGCACCAGGATGAGGGCTACTTTGCTAACCTTACAGAAGACCATGGTTTACAAAGCTTAGCTACCTAGCTAGAGAAAGCAGGGCCAACAATGGCTGGTGATGAGCTCCTAGAATGAGCTAATGGTGAGCTCTGGTGTGGCTGATGATGTGATGTGTGAGCTCAGTTTTTTTGCTATTTATAGCATCGTACCAGATACACTGAAGGTGTGCCGACTAGAGCTGCAGTATTATATATTATATAGAACATAACTACGGAGCCACCTTTATTAGCTTGGCACATGTGCATGGTGGGCACAAAGTATTCGTATTTGATTAAGTGGATTAATAATCAGATAACAACACTAAACTCCTCGCTCTTTTGCAAGCTTATATGTATAAGGACATGGAGGAGGTGAAGGACCACAAGTAGTACTCGTGCACTAACTGTAACATGTTTGTTAAAAAGTACGGACTATACCTCGCAAAAGCGCTCCTAAATCAAGCTATTAATATTACATGAAGAATGATGATAGAACGCTTAATTCCATCTTGTGCATGTAGGACATATATAACCATGATGAAAGACTTGGATGAACCTAGCTTGAGATTATGGGAACATGAGATCATCAGCCTGTTCGTTTGTTGGTTTCAGCCAGAGCTTATCAGCCAGCCAACAGTATTTTTCTCTCACAACAAACCAGCACCAGCTAGGACTTATCAGCCCAGAAACCAACTAGTGAACAGCCTCCGTATATATCCCCAAGAATGAACGTTAGTATGTTGAATGACCGAAATGTTCCAGCTTGACCAGAGTTGGACGACATCCAGCTGCCATTTATCAATTATGTACCCGCGTTTTTTAAAATTGCAAATTCTGCTCCTACTTCGCAAAGTACAACATGGAATCCTAGCCTTGATGATCCTCCATTTATGTTTGTCGTTAGCCTTAACATTGTGCTTGCTTGTCATTATTATGTTACAGATTAATTCTATACTTCTTAATAATATAACCCAAACTCAAAAGCATACCCAGAGACCCACCACGTACAACAGTGCTGGTAACAGCTACATTGCCGACAAAGCTGCCGTGCAGCACTCATCAGTTATATATCTGCATGATAATTTAATATAATAGAGATATACGACTCTTTCGTATAAGAAACCTCGATGGACATACTTTAATGGTTAACTAGAGAAAAGCACACTATTACGTAATTTCTCAAATCAAAGTAAAGCTAGCGAGCAATTAAGATAGTGGCATCATTTGTAATATCCTTGAAGATGTAACACTAGAGATCATTCCTCTTTCTATAGATAAATGGAGCTTTATTTTGAGATGAAATATATGTTATCGCGGTCTCTGCACTCAAATGGTGTATAGCCAAATAGCCAATACAATACAAATGCAAAAAGATAAAAGAAAGAAAGAAAGAAGAAATTAAGAGATTCAGTGTGCTTTAATCAGCACAGCATAGTATATGGGCTTGTCCCATATTTTACTCAACTAAATCAAATAAATCCTAGGCCCATATTTTAAATATAGCTTTAGTATTACTCCCTCCGTCCCAGTATATAAGGCGTAACCACCTTCAGTTCAAAGACCAAGGAACACATTTAATTCTCTCTATCAACACTAGTATTACTGCATCGATGCATGTGCCTCTAGAGATAGCACGCCTTATATTATGGGACACAAATAAAAAGTGATTACGCCTTATATATTGGGATGGAGGGAGTATATAGAATTTTAACTATATGTTGACTCAACTTAAATAGGTCAACTTAAAAAATGCATAATTTAGATGGCATGCGTCGTGGGGTCGAAACTATAAGGAAAATGGACCCTTGGCCCATTTAGTTTGGATTTTGGTGTTTAATGAATAACATGACCATTTAGACTAATGTTGTTTGCTAGAATACAAGGTATAGTTCAAATAGATGCAATATGGACTTTGACTTAGGCAACGAGGTGATCCGAATGATCAACACCTAAAGCAAGACATTAGAAGCTTTTTTGAAGACCTACAAAACATGCTAGAAATCAAAGAAACCAAGAAGTAGAAGCGCGGACACAAATAGACAAACAAAGTTGAAGCCACTCAAGACGAGACAATGAGGTGAATGAATTGAAATTGCCTCATGATTTTGGATCTTCTCAAATTGACATGACACCAGCTCAAAGCTATAGAGCTCTTCATTATCTTTCCAAAAAGTCCAAGATCACCAAAATCGAAGTTCAGAGCTAAAAGTTACGCCCAAAATATGGAGGTGTGTCTGTGCTGAAAATGGAGCGTCGGACGGTCCGACGCCCCTATCTTTGGTCCGACGCTCTCTGAACCGAAGTGAACAGTGGCACCATATAGTCCGACGCTCACCTAATGGTCCGACGCTCCCAGAATTGCTAGTTTCAACGGTAACCTATAGAAAGCATCGGACTCTGATGCAATGGTCAGACGGTCCATCAAAGTACGGTCCGACGGTCCGCAGAAAGGGTGATCTTGTCCCCAACGGCCATATTTTTTGCTTGGGGCTATAAATAGGACCTCAAACCGGGACAAATGAGGCGTGGAGGAGTGAGGAAACATACCAAGAGTGTTGCTACACCATCTTATTGCTCTCCACATGCATAGTGCTTAGTTATACACTCGGTGACTAGCGTAGGTGCTTTGCGAAGTGCTTAGGTTAGTTATACCACGCTCATGTGCGCTTGCTCTAGGTTTAGGCCTAGTGTTTTGTAACACCCCAGGCGCCACAAAAGCCCAAGATGTCACTAACATCCCTTCCCTCATGCCAGTGTATAAAACTTGGCAACCAAACCTATCATCAAAGTAAAATGCGGAAGCAACAACACCAACAAAACTATGATTAAGATATATTCCATTGTAAAAGTTATTATTAAACCACAAATGGTCACCAAGCTAGTTAATTCTAAGTTTATTACATCAAGTTATAAACATCGTTATTCACTCTAAATGTGGGTGAAAACTTGAAGATGTGCCGCTAATCCCATCCCTTCAAGCAAAGCATCCAAATCAATCAGCTGGAAAGATAACGGGGTGAGAATAAATCTCAGCTAGCAAACTGTCTGAACATGTCATTCAAACTACAAGTTCATTATACATCAATTTTTTTTAAAAAAATACATGTCATACTAAATAAAGGTTCATGATAAGAATATTTATCCATTGAAATTTCCATAAATAAGCATGTAATGAGCATGATATATAATAAATAAACAATATCCACATATGAATAAAATAATACTCCTTATATAAACAAAAACAGTGCTCCTCATATCTAGTTATGCCAATATGGAACTTCAATATAAATAAACCTCAAAGAGTGCAATGCAATGCATATGCTTGTCCACTGCCTCCATACCCAACAAGGTATGCAACTGCATCGTACCCCTCCTCGGGCAACGTACGATGCTGTACTGGTACGGTCGCGACCAGGAAGAGGCGACATAATCCACAAGAGCACACCGGAATAGTCATATAACTTTCTCACCGACCTGGCTCTAGAGCACTCCAGAATAGTTATATGACTTTCTCACCGACCTGGCTCGATGCATATGCTCATGACAAAAATGCTCATGATGCAATGATATAATGTAACTACAAGTATACTTACCTCATCCGCCATATACATCCACAACCATAAAACATATCACTTACCTTCCGATGATAGACAAATTCTTACCACATATGTTATATACCTCCACAATAATAAAATATATATCACTTACCTCAAGAGGGTAAACAAATGACAAGATTCAACATGAAGATCATATATAAATTACTTTAAAGGATAAGTGAATTCATACTTAGATATATTATCTTGATTTAGTTAATGTCATGATACAGTGTAGGTAGATTAAATAACATGTCAAGTTGTAGCAAACCACCGCTACGTTTACTTGCCTCGAAATGGCAATGCCATAACATGAGCTAAGAACAATCCAAAGATGCACCACCTATACAAACATCATTACCTCAGACAACATACCCATGAAAACATACAATAACACACAACCACTTCTACGACCTGCGCCATCGTTTCCGTCAAAACAGCTACCAAGACAACCAATCAACTGCAACAACCTTGCTTCACATTTTTACTTCAGACAAACCACTTGTCTAAAAAATATAAAACTTTCTCCGAATATACAAAACAACATTACCTACAACTTTCATGTTATAACTTTTGGATTTTAAGTATCCTAAGATACCCAAAACAAGCCAGCAATATAACTAAACTTTTCTGACAACAGAAAACTAGCAGCTGAATAAAACATGCATAACCGGAGATATATATATATATCCAAAATTTATGATCTTTAACATTCTAGAAAGCCTACAAAATTATGAACAACTTTGATGTAGATTATTTCACGATATTATGAACTTAAGGTATCGTAAAACTGAATGCATCTAAAACTGTTTAGAAATTCGACAGCACAACTGTTTCATCAAACAATGATTATATCTCCCAATATAGAGGGGCTATGAAGGTGATATTTACACCAAAAGAAAGGTATTGAAGTCTACTAAAGAGATATAATTTTTCTAGGATTTTTGAGCACACAAAGAAAGCCTTAAACAGCATATAAACCAGAACAACATAATCTAAAAACAGCGAGTTTAATTACGAGATTAAAACCCTTACCCCGTCAACTAATCAAACGAATTCGCCAAACCCTAGCATAGATTTCACATTGAAACAGTGGGGAAAGCATAATCTTACCCTAAACAGCGAGTATGACAAAGATATGCTACGGTCGATCTCTCGTATCCGATCCTCACCGCTACACCTTTTGTCGTCTCGATCTATGTCCAACGCAACATCACCACCACGAACAGCCTGGAAAAACATGGGATTGAGGGGAAGACAAGAAGAGGTTGTCTAACCGGTTTTAGATGAGGAATAGAGACGGCTACGAACATCGGTCAAACCCTTCCTCTCTTCTCTCCTCTCTTCTCCTCTGCCCTTCTCTTCTCTCCTCTCTTCTTCTCCTCCCTTCTCTCTCCCCCCTCTCGTCTTTTCTTCTCCTGAACATGAACAG